CCACAGGAGGTTCGGACGTTAGTCAAGGAAGCAACCTATAAGAAAAAAACAACTGGTTGTCTTCTGTGACGCTAGTGCTCACAATTCGATGTGGGGGAGTACGGACACGAACGCTAGAGGTGAGTCGTTACTAGATTTCATTCTAGGAAAAAAACTTAGTGTCTTGAATTTAGGCTCAGAGCTGACCTTTATAACAAAGAGTAGAGAGGAAGTTTTGGACATAACCCTGACTTNCCATCTCACTTGATCCTTAACCTTGCGCGTTGCTGCACTTTACAATTGACACTTAAATTTGCGCGTTATTTTTTGGTTTTTCGAACCGTTCAACCGAACCGAAATCCCGGTTCAAAGACCAAAAACCCGCTTTGACGAACCAATCCAAAAGTGCAACAACGGTTCGAACCGCTGAACCGAACCGACCAAATTTTTCATCCGGTTCACGTCCCNCGGGTGGAATTGGACGGGTTGGTTAATCAGGTCACTAAAGCCATGAATAGTTCTTTGTCAGCCGGATGCCCGGTTGCTAGATACAGAGGGGAAAACAAACCACCTTGGTGGTCAAAACAGTTATCCTCGTAACGTGAATCAAATAGGACAATGTTCAATAAGGCCAAAGCCACGAGAACAACAGAGGACTGGGAAGCCTATAAGGCTGACTTGAAAATATACAAAAAAGCAGTTAGAACTGCGAAACGTAAATCATGGCAGAGTTATTGCAAGGGAATTGAGGAAACCACGGAAGCGGCCAGATTAAGAAAAATTCTTGTAAAGTCGCCATGCAACCTTGGCTATCTCAAGGGTCAAGGGTACTCATGGACTACGACGAGCGTGGAATCTTTAGGTCTCCTCCTGGACACACACTTCCCTGGAAGCAAGTCGATGGAACTTAACGACCCCATAAATGACGGGGGGCTATCTGATCTAGGAAATCGACTGATTACTAAGGCGAAAATCGAATGGGCTATTAAGACTTTTGGTCCTTACAAGTCACCGGGACTGGACGGCATACACCCGGTAGAACTGCAGCAATCACGGAGTTATATCTCCCCATTCATTGCGTCTATTATAAGAAGCTGTCTTAACATGGGCTATATTCCGCTATGCTGGAGAGAGACAAAAGTCTCTTTCATACCCAAGGCAGGTAGGTCCTATCACATCAACCCCAAGGACTTCAGACCCATCAGTCTTACGTCTTTTTCGCTCAAAATTTTAGAGAGGATAGTGGACGATTATGTACGGGGCGTGATACCAACTAGTAGGCTCTCCCCAGCGCAGCATGCCTATACGAAGGGCACCCTCCTCTAGCCATGACCTGTTTGCCTCTTGGATCATGCTGTTTCGAAGTTCTCGTTTGCAGGTTACCATGGGTATCCCAATTGTGCCTCTGTTTTCACATAGGGGGAGATTGGTACCCTTTCTGGCAAGCTCATCGGCCCTGCAATTTCATTCAATATCTCGTATGTCCCGGAACCCAAATTAGGCTGACCTTAAAAACGGCGCTGATATCGTTTAGAGCTGCTAGACATTCCTGCGCAACCTTCGATCTCAGTATTACCATGTTCATTGATTTAATGGCCGCCTGGCTGTCCGAGAAAATATTAATCGTAGTCCTCGTTACGACATGCGTACTAAGGTACACAGCCACCTCCTTTATAGCTAAAACCTCTGCCTGATAAACACTGCAGTGGTCCGGAATTCGTACGGATAATTCTAGTCCTAGTTCCTTGGAGAAAACTCCGTAGCCAACCCTATTGTCTAGCTTGGATCCATCCGTATAAAAATTCAGTTCCCACCTTCTCCATGGTCTTGGTGTTTGCCATTCTCTTCTTGACGGGATGCTCGTCTTGAAGAGCCTATCGAAGGTTGGTTTAGGGGCGGAGTAGTCCACTTCTTGTTCATGACTACCCAGAGTGTGAAGTATAGAGGCGTGACCGAACCGCCGATCCTTCCATAGCACCATGCTTTTTAGTCTGAGCGCTGAATCGGCGGCCGCGTATTTTCCCACCAGGTTTAATGCGGGCAGATTGGTTACCACCTCTAGCGCTTTGTTTGAAATGCATAAAAACGCTGTTCTT